ACTGTTTTATCAACTGTTGATTCATTTGTTGATCTTGGTATTTTAATGGATCCAAAATTAAATTTTAATAATCATGTTATTTCTATGGTAAACAAAGCCCACGGTGTCTTAGGATTTATAAAACGATGGGCTAAAGAATTCTCTGATCCCTACATTACAAAACAACTTTTTACATCTCTTGTGCGACCCATATTAGAATATGGTTCTGTTGTATGGGATCCCCAATATACAATTTATTCCGATAAAATTGAATCAGTGCAGAAACAATTTCTAATTTTTGCGCTGAGAGGTTTACATTGGAATAGTGACTTTGTGTTGCCTTCTTACACTAGCAGGTTAAAATTAATTCGATTGCCAACATTAAAAAGTAGACGTATTATGTTGAACACTATGATAGTAATTAAAATACTAAGCGGTAATATACCCTCAGACTTCCTAATTTCATCCATTAGAATAAATGTTCCTTTTCGATCAAGTAGATATTATCAACCATTATACGTAGATTTTCATCGCACAAATTATTCTATGGGAGATCCACTTAGTAAAATGTGTATTGATTTCAATTCTGTGTATTCTAACGTAGACTTTTGCATGAATATAGACCTAATAAAATCTAATATAATCATATTTTTAAATGAATAATACAACTTAATAACAAACTGGCTGTTGAAGTAGATTTCTGTAGCTGGTTTTCTATCCCTTCTCATATTCCATCATAATGCGGATTATGATGCGTACGCGATCCCTACGAAAGGGGAGGTCGCCCCCTCGGTCGGCAGGGGTGGGAAAGTGAGGCGTGGGAACGTACGATAAAAAAAAAAAAAAAAAAAAAATAATAAGATGGACAAAGTTTGGATGAAAACTACATTTTTTGTAACGGATTTAGTCCAAAGAAACATGGGGTGTAGAACCAGTATTTCGATTAGCCACATTTTCACCGTGTTAAAGTGCATACACCCTCAATAGCGATAAATCTGAAGGTATAATTATCCATTAAAAATTAATGCATTTTTTGTTTACGTAATCCCTTTGTTTACATAATCCCTTTTTAGAAATGTCGGTATAGGTCCACTTTATGGTATGCTCCCTATATTTTCATTTCTTGTACCTGTCAGTATATCTATGGTGGAGGGTATCAAAAGTTCGGCCCGGCCGAACTTAACGCTTTTTCACTTGTTTGTTTTGAAATCGGCATATGTATTTTACACATATATATATATATATATATATAGGACCATGGTATATATATATATATATATATTTGATTGTATGAAGTACTATTTTCCATTTTTTATCTGCTTACATATTATGTCGACGATAACAATTTATCCTTTATGATATTGAAGAAAGTTAGTACAAATTAGTAGATTCTTGCAGTACGGGAACTGACAATTATCTTACAAAACATGTATAATAGGCTTAGTAAGATTTCTTTGTTTTAATTGTATTAAAAATAAAAAAAAAAATTGAAAAAAAGTTATTTGTGTTATTCATTATTATTTGTATAATTATAAATAATAATAAAATATTTTTTTTTTGTAAAAATTTGTTTACAAATTATAACAAAACAACTGATAAAATATCAACCGATGCAAGGTCTATTACTATAACGGCATATATATTAGAACTTTTAACGGGTTAACCTACCTTATGAGGATTTATAAATATATGCAAAGGAATTGACAAATGAAACCCACTGGGTTAACGAAATCCGGTTAAATGTAAACGTACAACGTAAGGCAAAATTTTACAGATGATCGAGACAAAAACAAAGGTTTTTGTTGTGATACATCACCTCATTATTGCATCATGTGTTATATGTACTGTCAAATTTTACGTATGTTAAGGTACGTTTAGATTTACGAAATCCACTCGATCTCAAGTGTCAATTCCATAGTGTATACGTCAAATATAATCCACTGGATTTGTGACCTGGATTAACATGACGTATACGCAATGGAATTGGCATTTGAGATCGAGTGGATTTAGTAGTCCAAACGCATCCTTAATATCATACATGTCGTGTGGCCCATACGAAAAATTGCATCTGTTAAAATGATATGACAACTAATATGTAATTTTTTAGTTTAGAGGCTGGTCTATTTCTGTATGTATTTTCATGTATTTCGTGTTTGGCAAATGAAAATAAATTCGAAGAAATGAAGTTAAATTCGAGAAAGGAAAAAATTAAACAAAAATGCATATACACTTGCATGGTATAATAATAAAAGGTAACAGCAAGTGTTGTTGTACAAAAAACGATACAACAACCACATGGAAATTTGTTGTTGTAAGTTCTACTAGTGTCAACTCATTTGACAGAAAAATGTAAACAAACAAACAAATTATCATCAAGTTATTTTTATTTTGAAAATGAAATATTTTCGAATCCTCAAAATAAAAATTGAAAAACACGAATGAAAATCTATCAAATTTTTATTTCTATCGCTTCCACATCATTCCTTTAATTGAGCCATTGCCATATATATGTGTAACACATATGAAAATGCTGGGAATAGCGAGTTATTCCTTCAAGAAAGATTTGCTTCCTCAAACTTTCCCAGCAGGCAGATTGAGTAAATTGAATACGGGAGCACATTAATAAAGAACAATTTCAAATTGTATGCATTCCCAATTTTCCTGTTGGGCGATTTTTAAAAACATAATTTGTCAAATTCATATTGACACTAGTATTACGTTGGAATCAAATCAGCTGGGATGTGCTGTTACCTTTTATAATTGTACCATGATACACTTGTGAATACAAAAGTAAAAAATGTATGTAAAGAAGCAATTTTGACATACAAACAAAATGTTGATGACTCGTGTGGCAAAGTCTTTAGCGTGGTTTTATATTTGTCGGGATCGGGATCGGTGTTGAGAGTTTCTCTCTCTCTCTCTCAGGGGTAATTGTGAATTGTGTTGGAAAACATTACCACAGGTAGGAACAAAAAAGTACGAAAAGGTACCTAAAATTCTACTTGAAATGATAATAAATCATAATTATCGAGAAATATTGACCAATATTCATACCAGTTATTTGCATAAATAATATATGTTATAATTTAAGCGTAAATGTATTCACGAATAATAAAAAAATCTAATTTTTGTTTTGGTACGTTTATGTAAATTCGTACCTTTTGTGAACAAATAGTACGCTTGTTACAAAATTAAAAATAGTGCAACTCTAATTACTCTCTCAAGAGAGAGAAACTCTCAACACCGATCCCGATCCCGACAAATATAAAACCACGCTTACTGAAACAATCTACCATGGTCCTATAAGAAGCTCGTCCGATAAGGCCAGATGATTTCACCCGAGCTGTCAAAATGCTTTCAATTTTGACTTAATCGTGTGAAAACGTTAACAAAAACATTTACAGTTTTGGGGGATATTAGCTCTGTCTGTTTACTCGATATTTGGTAACAATTGTTACCAAATGTTACTAAATGTTGTCTGTTTACCCAAAAATCAAGTGAGAGAGCAAGTTTGACAGTTGAACAACAACAAACTTACTGGAGTTTATTGAAAGAATTTTATGCAGTAAAAATTTGTTGGATCAGCTGTTTTATGACCAAACACAAAAATTATACAAAATATTTTTTTTTTAATTGGCAAAGTTCAATTTGAAATTAAATTGTACAAAAATTACAGATAATGGAAGAAAATTCGAAAGTAATGCAAAGTTTCATTAAATTAGAAACTAATTCCTTACATATTTTTAGGCATGTTCAGATAGAGGCAATGTATTGATGCAGGAAGCTTAACTGTTCTCGGGGAACATACCAAACCAATTTTTCTTCTAATATTATTCATTTTATTTTTAATATTAAATCTTATTAAATGTTGTCTGTTTACTTTTCACAGTATTATCACAATAGAGAGTAAAAAAGGCTTACTCGCTGAACTAGAACTTAGTCTTGATTTAAATTAGGCGAGTTTACTTGCGGCAATTCTTATCGTTCTCTTTTGAACTTGCTTCATGCGTCTATACAAGGCAATTCGGTTTCAAAAAAAATTTTTTTATTTGTTTCAAATAGTTTTTTCACATTTAAATAAATATAAAATGTCAAAAAATACGAAATACACAAAACGAATTGCCAGAAAATTGTCGGTACGAGCAATTTTTTTCCATTTCTATTCCCCTTGCCCCTCTCTCGTACAAACAAAGACTTGCCGCAAGTAAACTCGCCTAATCTAAATCAAGACCTACTGTTTATTGGGTTATGATATTTACTGGGTAGATGTTTCTGGGTAACATAACTATCAAACTTTCTCTTTCAATTCGTTATCTTTTATTAGACAAGATCCAGTTAGTCTGCTTTTCCACAGGCAGAGAGGTGTGCGAGGAAGAAAAACAAAAATTTGCCTGTTCAGAATTTGCCGTTACGCAAATTCTGCTTTGCTCTGTTCGTTGAAAACAATTTTGTTGACATTTCCTTTTGAACCTATTCGCTTTACTGACACACAGCCGGCTTTTGTTTACAAACCTGTTGCTTTAATTTGTGCAAGTGAAATTTAATTTTTGCAATTTATATAATAAAATATATAAAAAATAAATAAAATATTAAAAAAAATCTTTAAAATGCAAACACTTTTGACTTTTATTTTCTTTCTTTTGTATTTTGATTCGCAAATTTGGCAAAGAAAAATTTGCTAATGGAAAAGCAAGCGAAAATTTCAAAAGAGAAAACAAAAAATTTGCCAAATAAAAATGTGCCTGTGGAAAAGCAGACTTACAATTTGTATAAATTATTGAGTAAACGAACATACCTATTGTAATTAGAAGGGTATACAATATAACTATGCACTTTACACTTGACATAGTTGAGATATTTGTTTAAATATAATTATGAGCAAAATTGTATGATTGTTTCCATTTTATTGGAATTTCAAAGTTTCACAAAAGTATTTCTGATCTACGCATTGTTGGTGCATTTAACCTTGAATCTACGCTGACTATATTTCTTGGTTTGTGTTTATTTCTGTTGTACGAAAAATGGAGTGCGAATTTTTATTAAATATAGATAATAAAGAAATACTGATAGAGGTGCAAAATAAGTCAGACGTTTTTATTACATTTTCTGTTATAATTTAAACATTTATATCACAGATTCTCAATCAATCTATCGACTTCTTAATTGGGAATAAAGATGAACATGCCTTAATGCGACAGAGCCATAAGTACGGATTTCACAACCCAGACGACTTCCTGCTTGCAACGCGTAATATGGCCAAATATTATCGAAAAATTTGCTGTTCTGGAAGCGGTGTTGTCGACCATTCAATGCTGCCTCCTGATTTAAAAAATATTATTACATCAGTCTACGTATCTCGAAGAGAAGAATTGCTACGTTTTCTTATACGAGAACAAAATGCTTCCGTTTGTGAATCAGTGGAATCATTTGATTGGGATGTTCGCCTTATTTTGGGAGACAGCAACTTTGAAACCAATTTAAGATTATTGACTAATATAACTTTTCGATTATGCAATGGCTTAGCAAATAAGAATGTCAAATGCAATTATTTACAATTTCAGGTTAATGAAGACAAAGTTGACGAACTCATTAGTTCTATAGAATTAGCATTAAGTAATGACTAAAAAATAACCAATATGTTAATCGTATTATTTTTTACATTTACCAATGATTTGTATATTAATTTTCAGATGATTGTGGTTATGAGTTTTGCTACGTCTAACATATTTTATAAAGCTTTGCCCTAATTATATGTCAAAGATAAATAGTGAACATGTTAAATCCACGGATTACATTCTAATGTTTACGTCAGTGGAACTCGTTATGTTGAGTACAGTGAAATATTCCCAATTTTTAATAAAATCGAAGGGACTATCTGTTAATAGCCACATTTAAAAATTGCCAATTATAACAAATTTTTTGGTGGGAAATCAGTATGGGGCTCCAAAGTTCAAAAAATACACCCACTTTTGGTGATGATCACAACCACATAATTTTGGGAGAACTTCATACGAGAGCTGGATTATCTTTTAATTTAAATGTTTTCAATGTAGCAGGCCTTCGGCCGGGTGATTAAGATTTTCTCCTATGAACAGGTGGAACATAGGGCTACGCGAGCAAAATTTTCTTTAAATTTCAATTTGTTCTAAGTAGCCAGCCTTCGACCGGGTGGTTAAGACTTTTTCATATGAACAGGTGGAAAATTGGGCTACCCGAGCAGAATTTTCTCTTAATTTAAATTTTTTTCTGGGTAGCGGGTCTTCGGCCGGTCATTTAAGATTTACTTGTATGGACAAATGGAAAATCGGGCTACGCGAGCAGAATTAAAAATAGTTATACATGATAAAATTAAAAGCCTATTTAATAAGCTTTATGACTAAATACCCGGCCCTAGCCGCTTTTCCAAACCCCATTCCTCTAGAAGAATGGACTTCCTTGCATAATAGTATCATCCGTATCTAATCAGGTACAGCACACATACCTCTGCTGAACCAGAACAATCCGAGCTAAGTCCCTTAAGGCAAACAAATAAAAATGTTTATAGGGTAAACGCACCTAATTCCGGCATGTACCAATAGTCGGCATGTATTTTATATAACTTCAAATAATTAAAAAAAAAACCTATAACTAAATATGAAAAATACATTGAATAATCTTCAATAATAGCGATAATTCATTTTTCTTAAGAAAAAATTAGTGGTCATGTCGATTTCAAAAGACTTGTAAATATATTAAAATTATATATTTTTCACAAGGATCTTCTTCGTAATTGTAAAGAACATAGAGGAGAATAATTTAGGATTTAAAATCATTAAATTATTAAAAATTAAAAAAAAAATTAATTTATTAAAAAAAGCAGTTTTGATTGGGTTTACATATGGAAGGCTTTTTTTATCTTAAATTCTTTTAACCTCTGAAATGCGTTATTTAGCCATGACGAGAATTAGATAAAAGGTTCCCGAAGTTGGCACCATGTTTTATAATTGTAATATTTTAATAAATAAAACTATTGGTGTTAAGCAAAATTGACTACGGTTTGTACCTTTTTGGGGACAGTCCTGTTTCCCATCAAAACCTTACTGATTGAATCTGGATTGCCTTCTCTCGAGCATAGAATTCTCGAGTCTAGGAATATGTTACTGCCTAAAATCCTGTCATCCAAGTCTTCCGTTATTAACACTGATGTATCGAAAATTTTAAAAGCAAAACGAAAACCTAAAAAGACATCAGTTGTTTACTATTCTATTAGGAAAAACATAGTAAACGTTAGGGATAAGGTTACATGCTTTAAACCTAAATGCCCTTCATGGTTTTTTTCGGACAAATCGTGCGATACATCTCTCAGCATTCTAGGAAAAAGTGGAACTTCAAACGAAATATATGCACACCATTTTCGATTTTTTTCCTCGCAGTACTCGTCTTGGCAGTTCTTATACACTGATGCCTCAAAAACAAACTCAGTCTCATACGCAGTTGTTGATTCCAATGGCGATACTCTATCCATTAAAACCCTTGCTGATTTTTCATCTATCTTCACAGCCGAAGCTGCTGGCATTATAGAAGCTATCAATAACACAAGCATCTCAGCATCTCATTAACACAAGTTTTGACAACAAGTGTCCCAAATGTGAAAATATCTACACAGCACAACATATATAGAAACTTGCAACGCTTTTTACAGAGTTGCAACACTATTTTAAACTATTTTATATAATTTTTTAATACAAAGCGATACTAATAATTTATTAATGAAAATAGCAAAAAAATTAATAAAATAATTTTTGTTTAACTAAAATACGACATGCCTACTATTGGAACCTGAAATGCCGACAATTTAAAAAAAGGCCCGACTATTGGCACAAAGGCACCATTGTACCTAATTATAAATTTAATCTACTTTAATACAAATTAATTAAACAAATATTTATTGCACCGGGTAATAAACAAAATTTGGAAACATATTAACCTAAACACAATTTTGAAAAAATGGCCTCGTGATGGTGAAATCCTTAAGTGCCGACTATTGGTGCACTTACCCTATTTATTTTTAAAATTTTGGAACCCCCTATTTCCGGAAGTACGAATTCTCCCCAAAAAATTCAAAGAGTTATCGGTATTAAAAGGACATTCTCCGAAAACATTTCGGAGTGGTATTCTTAAAGATATTTAAATATAATTGAGAGTATTTTTTGAACTTTGGATCCCCATATCTCGGGAAGTGCTGATTTCCCCCGAAAAATGTATTTTTTTTTTAAATCAGCACACGATGGGCTACCTATGGTAAAAATTTCAAAATGATCTGAGTGCATTTAAGCCAATTAAATATTAAATTACTTTATTCATAAAATATTTAAAAAAAAGAAAAGTTGATACCTTATGTTTCGGAGTTTCAGTCTTGAAGATTTTTAATAAAAATTGTGCGTATTTTTAATACTTTGGAACCCGATATCTCGGAAAGTACTGATTTCCCCGAAAAACGTGTTATTTATACATATATGGCAACGTTATCAAAATTCTCTTATGTGCGATTTAGAGATCTATTTAAAGAAAATTTAAGTAGTAGAACTTAGAGCGGAATCAGATTGAAGGTTTTTAAGTTGTCGGTGCTTGAGACTGTAACCTATGGACAGTCGTATACATGGCTACGCAATCCTAAGTGAGATTGGCAAAAAATATTCTTTAAACAGTCCATCTTTGATGGAATATTATAGGGTAATTGCTCCTTATGTCGGCCTCTGCTTACATACCTCTGTGTAAAATTTCATCAAGCTGATTTCTATCAAAAAAGTTGGGTCTTCTCAATGCAATGAAGGGGTTTCAATACTACCAAAAATTCTTGTTTCTTAAGAAAAAAGTAGTGGTCATGTCGATTTTAAAAGACTTGTAAATGTATTAAAATTAAATATAGAAGAACAATTTTTAAAAACTAGCTGACCCGGCAAACGTTGTTTTGCCTTATCAATATTGCATCAATAAAAGATTGGTAAAAAACATTTGCCACTAAGTTTATGTCAATAAAAAGTATTATCTGGCACCCAATGCAGGCCCAAGCAGTTAATACTCTATAATTTTGTAGATCTTATTTCACCAAATGTTGTTTTTTCTATAGAATATCATGTTTTGTTATTGCTCCATTTTACATTATCTTATTTGTCCATTCTTGAAGGATTCTTAATTACAATATCATTTTGTTCATTTCCAACTGACCTTTTGATTTTTATATTGAAATAACTCGAAAAATTTTAGATTTGACATAGAAAATTAGTGGTTTAGTGGTTTCATTTTTAAACATATTGATAATTAATTTTCAGATTACTGTTATAGATTTGTATATGTTTGCTATATATTCTATATATAGTTTTTGACAGTTAAGTGGAAAAGTTTGGCCAATGTTGACGCTGTATGACGCTGTATACAATTAAAAGAGTAAATGCCTGTTATATATTTTAACTCTAAATCGTGAAAGGTTGTAATCGGATTTGTTATATCCTCACATGTTTTAACAACTTGATTTTAATTTAACATTTGTTGTTGTTTATGGTTACATACCTATGTAACCATAAACAACAACACATCCAAACTTCAAGCTGTCGGCCAAAAAAAGAAACATTGTCGAAAAAATAATACACTTTTTTCACAAATATGAAAAAAGATTTCATATCCAACAGCTTGGGCTCTAAAAAAATAAGACAAAACTTCAAATATATGACGGGAATACTAATACCATTATTTTCGTCAATGTTAACGATCGCATTATTAATAGTATAACATACACATATTTTAAGAAATTATAAGTTTTGATCTAACTAACTCAAAAAACCATATGTCTTAAAAAAAAACAATTTATTTAAGGGAAATCCACCCATTCTTGATTTTAATTTTTGAAGATTTTCAATGGGCTGGTAAATCAATACCAATGCTTGTTAAGTTTTGTAAATTTGTACATATATAATTGAAGATTTAAAAGAGAAGAAAAATAATTTACAAAATTTTTTTGTTATTGTTTTTTGTAATTAAAGAAAAGTCCTTATTTTTGATGGCGGGCATGATAACTCCTCACTGGAACATCGGAATCCGAAAATTCCAACGGTGTTAGAAAGAGTACATGTGTGGCTCTCGTATGAACTAGGATTATAGACTTCGCTCTAAAATTAACAAAATGGTGGACCTTTGAAGAAATATTTTTGGAAAATCGCCGATTTTTTACCAAAAACCAAGATAAAAAATAAGGAAGATCTTCACCGATTGGCTTTATCCTAGTTCATACGAGAGATATACACTCCCAGAGAAACGTTGCAAAATTTGGAACCGATTGGATTATTAGTTTTTGAGTTATCGTGCCCGCCATTCGCAAAAAAATGTTTAGAGAAAAACTCGTTTAAAGTTTGAGAAGCCCTTTAGCCGTCACTTGATGCTGACACAATAAATCGGATATATCTTCAAGAGTTCTTGATATTTTCACTTGAATTTTTTAATTAGTGTAGATTCGAATTATATCAACAAAAATTTTGACCCCGAGAATGGGGTGTCCCCTTAAACATTAAAGCTCGATAGCAAAATTGGGGAATTGCAAATATTACTTAATATATTTGTTTTGGCGTAATCTCACAATTAGTTTTTATAT